TTTACAACCATATATATGTTTCCGTTACTTTGTAGTTGATTTCGGGTTTTGCTATTTTTATCTTTTTTTGTAGTTGTTGTCGATAACTTTGCAGTAGTTTTCGATAGTTTTATAATTGTTTTCGATATGTTGTGTTAATTTATATTATTTGTAGTTGATTTTCATTTCTTTTATAGTCGATTTCGTTAATCTGTAGTTGTTTTTATTTTTGGGTAAATTCCACTTTACCCCCTTTACTCTGCCCAAAAACCACTTTACCCCCTCGTACTCTTAATCTCGTCGATTTACCCCCTTGTACTTGTACAATTTCCCAATATAATCCTCTTCGTCAACTTTTTTCGATTTTGACTCTGACGCCATTTGGTCAAAAGTCAAAATATTGACGTAAATATTGATTTTTTTCGATTTTGACTCTCGAGATTAGAAAAGAGAGTTTCACACATTCATATATTCTTTTCTTTGCACTGGGTGGAATCGATCAATTTCTTGGTCTTGATTTTTACTAAGTTAGGGGTTTAATTTGGGGATATTTTGGAAGGGGAAGTGGTGGGAGAAGAAAAAATGACAATATTGACGGAGGAGAAATGACGCATTATAGGCAGTGGCAATTTTGTAATTTACAGAGTTGACCAAACGGCGTTAGAGCCAAAATTGACAAAAGTTGAAGGAAAGGGTTGTAATGGGAAATTGTACAAGTACAAGGGGGTAAATCGATGAAATTGAGAGTACGAGGGGGTAAAGTGATTCTCAGGCAGAGTACGAGGGGTAAAGTGGAATTTACCCTTTATTTTTTTGTAAATTTGCTATTTGTAAACCACTGTTTTTTAGATAGTTGCTTTACAGTTTTCTAATAGTTGATTATGGTGAAAAAAACGAACAGTTGAAAAAAAAATGGTTGTTTTCTAATAGTTGTTTTACAATTTATAGTTGTTTTGTAGTAAAAAAAAAAAAAGGCAAACAAATAGTTGTTTTCTGGAAAAAAAATGCCAAAAATAACTTAAAATTAAAATTAAGAAAGATGAAATAAAAAAAATCGAAATTATAGTCGTTTTCGGAAATATTATAGTTGGTTTCAAAATATTTATAGTTGATTCCGAACAGAAAAACTGAAATTAAAAAAATTAAAATATTTTTTAATAAAAAATTAAAAGAAAAATATTTTTTAAAAGCTATTATTGTTAGTTTTAAATAAAATAATAAGTAAAATGAAAATATAAATTTATTTAAATTATATATAAAAAAATTAGGGTTTGCGGGTGGGAGTTTATGTGGAAAGATTTGGGAAGCGATTTTTTGGGATATAATCACACACAATTGCAGGGTATCTCAAATTTCCGAATTTTGTGTATTTTTTTGGGATATAATCACACACAATTGCAGGGATCTCAAATTTTCCGAATTTTATGTGTGTGTCTTCCAGAAGGCTATTTTCGGGAATCATTAAAATAGTGAGTTCTACTAATATTGAAAATATGGTTGGAACCCCTTGTTAAAAAACACTAGAGGGGGTTATGGCCAATAGTCCCTATTTTATAATGAAGAAACTCACAGCCAACTACTCATATGTACTGGAAAAATTTCGACTCGCGCACAATAATTTACAAACTACACGGTAGATTTAAACTACACTAGACTTCATGTTACAAACAAATTCTTTTTTTTTTATTTATAATTCGAGTAGAATGTAAGTTTCACGTTTATATTTCATTAAAGACGAAATTGTACGGTCGACTGAACATGATGTGAAATATGCATGTAAATAAGGAATTATCAAAATTATGTACCCATTTTTTGGTGGCTGTCCATTTTGTCTATTAGGACAGGGGACCCTAGTGCCTAGGGGTAATATGGTCAATGCGTAGTAAAATAGAAGGGCAAAACAGACATTTCAGTAGTGCTAATTGCTGAGCAACCATAGCCTTTACATTTTGAACAAGAGGAAAAAGAAAAAGGTGTGATGGATTTTTTTTCAAATTAGACATATACTTATACACATGCAATGTTCGAACACAACCAATTTTTTTAATGTTTAATTCAATGTGGGATCTGCCCACTAGACTTGATCTAAAGCCAACTTGTCCAAGCCTTTTTTCTTCAATAAATATTATTGTTATTATTGTTATTACTTTTATTTTAGATATATATATATATATATATATATATATATATATATATGTCCTTGTAATTTTTAAGAATTACATTACATATAATTTGTTTGAATCATGTATTGAAGTCCTTCAAACTTGATGAAATATGTAAAATGATGTAAGCAGTTTATTAAAGTGATAAATTTAGCCCACCCAATTGCCGGAAAATTTTCACAAAATAAAAAGGGATAATTAGCAAAAAACCCTATCTAGGAAAATGAGTTAAGGAAACACCCCATCCCAAAAATAATTTGAGAAAACCCCCTTAGCTAATATCCACCCAAGTGATATTTTCATAATTCCAAAACTACCCTTAATTGTCTAATATACTCTTTTAAAATCCTAATTTATTTTCTCTTTTCCGTCTCTTCTCTGCTTTTTTTTTTCTCTCTTTTATACTTTTCTCTCATTCTCTCTTATCGGAAGATGAAGAACCAGCCACCGACATCACCGCCAGAACAATGATGCCAATTCCGTTGAAGTCGTCGTCGTCGTTGCCGTTGCCGTCTTCGTCGCCGTCGTTGCAGATCTTAACAAAAGCCATAAAGATGATGATGATTTTGATAGCGATTCCGAGTTCGAATGGCACGATTGCTACATCGGCGGCGAAAAGAGGTAAAATTGTCGATTGGAATCCGATTTTGATGGGTGGTGGTTCTGCTTTGGTTGGTGGCTTTGTTTTGGTGATTTTGATCGTATTACATGGTTCTGTTTTGATTGTTTGTATAAAAAACCGTTAGAATATGGAAGTGGGGTGGTGATAGTGTGGTGTGGCGACGACGTGGTGACGATGAAGAGCAGATCTAGGGTTTTTTTGATGGTTTTGAATTAATTATGTTCAGTAGTCGATTAAAGTTAACCGACTCCAGTTGTTATTTTTTTTTTTTTTTGATTTTTTTGTTTATTGATTCTAATGTATAAATCAATTACAATGTTTGTATATTTTTCTTTAAATATAATTGATTTTGTATTTTTTTTGTAATTGTGATTTGTTATTTTTTATAGTTAAATTTTTAATCGACTATCCATTAATAAACCTGATAAAGAAAAAAAAATTAAAAAATCAAAAAAAATTTAAAAACAAAATTTGAAACAGAAAAAAAATTAAAAAATTAAAGATTTTCCTTAATCGACTATGAAGCATAGTCGATTAAGGCTAATCGATTATGCTTCATAGTCGATTAAGGAAACTGATACAGAAAAGACGGGAAAAAAACGGAAAAAAATAAAAATAAAATAAATATCGCTGAGCGCGTGACCCAGTGATGATGTGGCGGGCGGGGGCAAAACTGGAAAATCTATTGGCTGAAAATGGGTGTGGGCTTTTCTCAAATGAACTAAAATATTTTGGACCTCCCTCCATTAAAAAAAGTAGTGAGAGGGTTTTCTCAAAGAGCCCCAAATAAAAATTGTAGTTTGTTGTTAGTTTTTTACAAAATAGAAGAGTTTCTTTTGTTGATATTGTATATCGACAAAAAAAAATTGAAATCTTGAATATGGGCTCGACAAGTGATACATTCTATGAAATGATATAACATCATGTTTGTTTGTTTTCAAAATGAAGTTACGAGTTATTATCACTTGGAAGTTGGAACAATTGTTGTTAACATAAATTTCTATTATGATATTTTTAATTTATTTTATGTATATCCGGTCTTTTCGACGACAAAATTCTGGTATTGCCACTGATTATAGTATATATTTTCTGAAATGTTAAATGGCGTTTCAATTTTACTAATGTTGTTTTGACTTCGAACCTAATTTTGACATATTTCTATTTTGATTTTGGCAAAATTCGAAACACGAAAACTGTAGTCATCTGGGTTAGCTTTCTAATCCAACTTAAGTCCGCTAGATTGGATGCCATGTGATAAAGTTATGCATGAATGAATCATATTTTGAATTTAGATACCTCAATACATCAAAGTTGTGGACAGTATCCATTGATTCATGTATATCTTTCTCGTCCCACATCCAATTTTGGTGATTCAAGTTGGATTAGAAAACTAAACCAGAATACTACAAATTCTATTTTCCTAGTTTTGCAAAATTTGGAATTAAAAATGATCAAAATCTCGTTTGAAGTCGAAACGATATTATTAAAGCTCGAACGACATTTATCACGCCCCTATATTTTTTTATATTTTCGTAATTGGATTACTTGGAAATGATTGAGTTACAAGAATCCCAATCGCCCATTACATTAACCCACTATTATATGTTATCCAAACATTATGTAGATCATGGAATATATTATTTATTGTTTTTCTACAAAAATAGTGGAATAATAATTGGCTGCATATTAATTTTACCACAAAGGGACAACTTTTGAAAAGACCTTTCAACAGTCAACACTTGAATCCTTTTACATGGCAGTGGCACGTACGAGTTCAGTTAAGGTTGTTCCTAATTTTAATGAGAGACACAATATACGATGCTATTAAATGTTATGTACAGTAGGTACAAAATATTATTGAGGGGGTAATTAAATTTCCTGAATATACACACAAATTATGTGTCAATTTTCTATTGGTAATAAATAATGGCACGAGACCAATTGCTTAAAAGTCCATATTGAAAGAAAAGTTCCAAATGAAGTGGAAATAAGCAAACAAATTGTTCACAGACTGTAGATTTCAATCCCACAAGTCAAATATGGTTCAAGATAAGACTAATGATTTAAAACTCATCGTCAAATCAATCAAATTCAATGAAATGATTAATACATTCAAACTCTTTAGCTTCTAAACGTAAGTATTCGAACGGAAAACGAATGCAGAATTTTCTGTTAAAACATATTCACCCGTAATAAGAAGTAATATACGTACTCTCGAGTCTCCGACACACAAAATAAATCCCAAATAAAGCAAAAACATTTTATAGGGGAAAAATCGATTTCATTATAGGTACAAACGAGTACATCACAACGTTGTTTCCACTTTCCACACCAAATACTCTTCTCATTCGTTCTCCACATCAAAAGCGAGCAAAATAAAATTAATAAAAAAAAAAAAAAAAGGAAAACCGTATACAAAGAATTACACAATCAACCCAAATATTCCCTAGAAATTTCACACAGATATACAAGCATGCCTTAGAAGAAAAAAAAAATAATGAATTATGAAAAATAAAAGCCGCCACGAAAACCAAACAGTAACACAATCCATACCGAAACGAGGTCGTCATTGGGTAGTAGCATCAATTGGAGCACCAGTCCTAGCCTGTGAGATCCTGTTTGCATATATTGTCACCAGACGTAGTTGCGTGCTATTAAGCCCCTCCAGATATGGCAAAAATGCTTTCCCCAGCATTATGTATATGTCCACTAGACAGAAAACAACCGTCTGCAATCCAATGACAAATGCACGTCAATGAGAGTTAAATATTACTTTTACGAGATTTTCTATGTTTGTGTTTCATGGTTAATATAAAAGAATAATTGCAAATTAATGACATCAGTTTAGAAGACTAGTGTTCAGGAGAAAAGCGTAGGTGTTACCAAATAACGTATTTTCAGAATCAAACTAAAGATTCATTTTTGGGGTTTTGGAATTTTGTATTTTATAGTTATTCTTTGATGAATAAGTACAGAAAAATCATCGTCACCTTCCGGACATCTGCACTCTGGTTCCCAAATGCATCGAAGAGGGCGGGCAGAAATGAGGGCAGTTGAGACATGAGTTCCTCTTGGGAGAGCCTGCCAACAAGCTGCAGGTAGAAAGAGTAAAATTACCAAATTGTCTAGGTTTTCCATATGACACTAAAAAGAACTAAAAAATTCGGACCAATATTTGTGTAATAGCCATTGATTAGGACACTTGCATAATATATGCTCATCGACAAAGTGAAAATGGAGTGAAATAGTGTAGTTCATAATAACAAAAATCGGCCTTTTTTTAATCTAACAAAGCATATAGATCCTCATAGTTTACCTTTGTCAAACAGTTTATACACGTCACAAGAGTTTTTTCATCTTCAGTTACAAGCAAAGGAACAATAACCTGCAAAGTCAAAGGATGAAATGTCAAGGCAAGTTATAATTCAAGGCTTGTGTTAAAATTGAAAAGCAGAACTAATACTTTGTGTTGGTTTGGAGCATTTCAGTGAATATGTTTTGGGAAAGTTGGAAAGTCTGAAGAGTGAGATGTTTGGCTTTTTTCCGGAACAAGACATTTTAACTGGATGGTGTGTTTACAGAATGTAACAACTAGAACGTATAACGGTATACGACCTCAATTATAAGTTTGTATGGTGTCACATCAAGTTTTTCACTAAATATATAGTATTTTGTGTATTTGTATGTATATTTGAACGTATAGCAACAAGAAAAGTTCCAATAGGTCTGGAGAAGAGAGAGGTTCTTTGTGGGAGTTGAATGATCGGTTAGGTTTATGGAAAAATGGGGAATAAAAAAGCTCCCTCAAAATAAACCAAACATTAAGATAAATATCCATATACAGATAGTATCTACACATGTAACTAAATAGTTTATAGCAGAACTTACACTTAGACATCTAAATGGGTCATACTGAGACAACACTATAGTTAAGCAATGCTCTGCTTCATTCGATACCTGAAACCGGAAGTAGACAGCATAAGCCAGAAACGAAACAGTGATGGGAAAAAGATATAGCTTCAAGAAAGACAGCTTACTTTCGGAACACTGTCCTTAGTCACATGAAGCAGCTTTTCGATGACAATCTCAACAGAATCCTCCATAGAATCCTTCTGGAAAAAAAGTAAGAGAATCTTATAAGGATGAAAGACGTTGCTACGTAAAGGAGAACTTTAGCGTGCATAATTTGAAGTTTAGACATAGAGATGACAAACCTGATTCTTCAACATTTCAACAATCAGTGTGAGGGCCAACTCGCGAATTGATGAATCAGCATCATCCAGCACTTCAAGTACTGCCGTCAATATCTGGTTGAAGTACTGAAATATGCCAAATATTAGTTATTAGATGCAAGATGATTTGCAACTTGACCAACTGTATAAAATACAATAATAAATTGAATAAGTACAACACAACTTTCTGCATAAAAAAGGAAGTAATAGTACCAAAAACCCCACCCCAAAAAATACAGAATCAAATTTGGAAAGAATGAGCAATAGACAGTTATCACATCGAAAATGAATTAAACATTGGAGATTGATCAAATATGCTGAGACGATGCAGGTTTGAGGTTCACTGAAGAGGTAAGTAAGTTAACAAAGAGAAGTTGCAAGACTTATGAATAAGTTTCGAACTTGGTTTCATCCTTCCCAGACTCAACAATGATGAAGGCCAAGAAATATGAATCCAAAAGCAAATTTATTTCAAGCAGTCGTGGCGTTAAGCATTAATTCTCATACCTTGCTCCAAACAGAGTGATCACTGGATACTGAAACTTCAACCAACTGCTGAAGTGCACCACGTTTGTCTGCTGCAGGACTTTCATCATTCCCGTTACAAATCTACAGAGAAGTAGGCAAAAAGCAAAAGAAAAGGTTAGAAATGAAATAGATAGAAGACTTCCAGATCAACATTCAGTCATTTTCTTTCAACTATAGCTAAGAATGACGTTTAGATAATGCTGATTAACATGAAGGGGAGTCATGGGTGTAAAATGTCAACCAATAGCAGCATTCAAGGATTACAAGTAGATTAAAAACTCACCAAATGAAGAATCTGGGGAATACTTGGTCCAGTTGCCGTAACAGAATTCAACTTCAAAGAAGGGAGGTTAGGATAACTTGGTGCCGTTTCAGATGAAGGCTCAGTGTCAACCCCAAAGTCAGCAGACTTTTGTAGATGGTCAGATCCATTCAGCCCACTAATGTCCATACGCGGTGTCGAAGAAAACTCCGCATTAGGACGGGTATCTGTCGCCCAAGATTTAATATTATCACCAGATGTATCGGATCCATACTTCAAACTATTGTAATTTGACGTATGAATATCAGTGTCAGAACTAGCTTCAACTGCATGATGCAAATTCTCAGTATCATCCGATTTCAAATTGCCAAAAGAACTTGTGTTATAGGACCCATCTTGAACGGAGCTCCACTTCCTACCACCATCACTATCAAGAGAACCAGACGAATACCTTCCAAACATCTGGGTCTTCTTGGACGATACAATATATCCCTCTTCAGAGGATGTACCAACCATGTCAGATGGATCGTACGAGGACTTGCCACGTCTCTCTTTCTTGCTTTGCAGAAAGTTCATCAAGTCTACTTCTATGCGAGGAGTATACTGCTTCAAGGCTCGTCTCAAAGAATTCTGCTCTTCAACGGATAAGCTAAGAATAAAATTCAGTACTGCCACCGAGTCATAATGAGTATAAACAGATATTATGCATGTTATAGCTGCTTCTTTTAGTTTTGTATTTTTGTCGTGGACCAACGGTGTCAATTTTGCAAGCCATAGCTTAAGGATGCCACTATTGGCAGAACCTTCAGAATTTGATGCATGCTTGTTAAATGAAATTATTGAAAACTCGATAACAGCTAATTTTGCCTTGGGAGAACGCTGTTCGTCCAATGATCGCAGCAAAGCAGGCAAAAGAGAATCAGTACCATATGTTTTACCAACAATATCCAACGTGGTCGAGCAAGGTTGCCTCACTAATTCCTTTGGATCTATTAACCGAGAAAAAACATGAGGTAGAATCCTTTCCATGTAACTTTCAAATGGCTTTCTGCAAGCTGGAATAAGATCTGCAAGAGTTGAAAGGGCTGCCTGTGCCACTTTATGATGGGGATCGTCCAAATGCTGGAAAAACAGCTTCATGACCTTCTCAAAACTCTGCACTATTTCTTGAATTCCTCTGGGTCCTTGCTGTAGCAGAGAACGAATGTAACTAAATGCAGCCACCCGAGCGTTCCAATCTGAACTAGAACTGAGACCCTCACCTAGAGCATCAGTAAGAGAAGCTGGAGTGTCCGAATAACTTGATACATCTCCCAGTGACAGCTGGCTCTCATCAAAGCTCCTCCTCCTTCCAGCGGACATTCGTCCAGCTGTGTTCTTCCTTAGAAGAGGACGCTGAAAATTCGGTACATAGTTACTCTGCGAATCCCTATAATTATTATCTTTATATGGTGTGTCTATGTATTGCCTATCAACTTGGGAGTTCATATATCGCCTTGATTCCCTGAAATCAGTATTTTCCTCAATGAATCCTCTATCTTGTAGCTTTTCAGAAGCTCTCTTGGCTGAGTAAGAAGAATGTGCTGACAGATGTTCACTTCCCATACTATTATGATACGATAATTTACCCGACTCTTTAGAAGCCTGAATTTGTGTGATGATATCGGACAACACCAAGCCGCCATTACGATTGTTGCTTTTAGAAATACCAGATACTCTATCAATTAAAGCATTTGCAAGACTATTTGAAGCTGGAACAGCAAGGGGGTATGGTGGATCACGAGATGATGGCGGGTCAACTCCTGCACTAGGCGCAATTATATAAGAAGTCAGCCATTCAGATGAGATTCAATATAATTAGAATCAGCCATTCACAAGTGATTCAAGATGCTAAGAGTGAGTCAATTTATTGACAATGGCTAACAGCAGAATTGTAAATCACTCTAAAAATAAAGAGAATCAGTTTTGGTAGCAGGATCTAATTACATGTTGAAAGGAAGAAAATAGTAGAAAAGTAAGTTCCAAGCAAATACCTAGGTCCAAACTGGAGGACCGGTTTCTCTCTGACATATCCAAACCCCTCAGCATACTTTCTATAGCAGTAACCTTCTGTTTGCTCGAGTGTAACACACTTTCCAGACTACGTTCAGAGCCCTTGCTCACAGACTTTGCCTGTGAGAATAATAGTCCAGAAGTAAGGGATGTCCCTGAAGGTAAACTACCACTTCTATCCATAGCAACTATAGCAGAAGTCCCATAACCAGGTATACTTGAAGGTGCAGATGTCTGAGAGGTGAATGACATGTTTGAACTTCTATCGCGAATGGAAGGAGAAGCATGTCTTCTATGCATACCTCCATCTTCATCGTTAATTACCTAGCCAAATATTCATTTAAGCTCATAGTTTACATTAATTGAAGGGACATCGTAAAAGTGAAACAATGAATTTACCCTTTGAACAACGGGATCAAAGGACGAAAACAGTCGTCGAGAGCGATCAGGCCAGGTTTTTGCAAACATTCTATAACAAGTCCTTGCAGTAGATCGTACCTGTTCAGTTTAATGTTTCAAGTTGAGGACAGTGCTACAGCTCGAGGAAAAAGGATAGTAGAATGTGTGTGCAGGTATGGCATACATGAGATACAAATGAGGCCCAAGTACTGATTAAACTATGACAATGGATAACAGAATAGGAAGCAGCCTTACATCCATACAAAACAATGAGGCCCAAGTACTGATTAAACTATGGCAATGGATAACAGAATAGGAAGCAGCCTTCCATCTATACAAAACAAAAGATGTAAAGGACACAATGTCTGTACCTCACTCATTGCATCAGCCACACAGCATCTTATAAGGTCTTCATAGATATCAGCCGACCGTTGTATTTCAGGAGCATCAGCCCAATATTCAAGGATTACAAGTGCATACTCGCAGCACCTAATTTAGGAGATAGAAATATTAATAAAACCACAAGGAACAGTAGGCGAAGGGGATTAGAGAACAGTAGAATCGTACCTTGCACGTAGTATAGCATTGCGGTCCTTCTTCGCACAGTCAACAATTCGAGGAAGTACACGCGGAACTTTGCAATTGCGTAACATCTAAATATCAAAATTATGTCAAACGACAGAAGGAAATACAAAATGAAGACAAGGTCAAGATAACAAAAAAATTACCGTCTTTATGCAGTTATCAGCAGATTCTGCAATCACAAGGACTGTTATCACAACAAGCTTGAAAAGGACCTAAGTTCCATAGCACAAAGTGAGAGATGATGATAATTATCTTAGCCAGCAGTAACTACAGACAAGAACTGTACTCACCGGAATAAACATCTCAGCACATGTCTCAAAGTCTCCCAATAGATCTGTCGATAAGAAGCTTACCAAATGGCATGCCTAGGAAAGAAAGCGAAAGTAAGAAAAACAAATAGAGAACTCCAGCACAGTAATAAGCAAACTAAAAATTTGAGGTATATTTAATTTCGGAAGAGTGAATTAGTTGATCATCCAACAAATAGGCGCTTCAACACCAAAAAAAGAAACATGTATATTTTCATGATTCGCCGATCCTCACAAGAATATATAACGAGACCTTCATAAAGATTAACCTTCAAGTATATGGTAAACAAACACAGTAACATTATTGTAACACAACACTGTCTACACTTAAGCAGGGTTCACCGGCATGCAAATACTAACATCTCAGCTATAAATTTCATTAGTAAAGCTAATACAGAAAAATGCATATTAAAAATTACGAAAGAAACTTGATTCCTGTCTTTTTACTATAATATAAATATAAATGAGAATACGCTCAGAGAGGAGATAGTTATGCAGTCACTTATGGTCATACCTGCTTCACGATGCTAGATCGCCGATCAGACAGTTGTGTGCTCAAAGGATTAATCAGTTGCTTAAGAAGTCCACGGAAGCAAGGATAATCAACTGCGCCTGAATGATTGAACTAGAAGTAATAAATATTTTTTCTTCGTGGTCACAGTTTATTAAAAAAATAGATTGCGTAATTTACTATAGCAGGAAATATGCACTTCTACCAGCCAACATGGAATATAAAATTCTGTTTTACAATGCATTATCAGAGTGGAATCTCAAATATGTTTTGTAGTAAAAGATAAAGGCAGATAACATGATATTTTAAACGGAATTCGCAAGCATGACTGTTTTGTAAGTAGTCAACAAACCTCCAATAACAAGGCCTTCAACTCTCTGCATGGCTGCGATACGGATAGACCAATCTTTCTCAGGCACAAGAATGGTGGCGATCTTCTCGAATTCCCTAATAAGCTCTTTCTCTGAATACACTTTAATTGGTTCAACAGGTTTTTCTGTGACATCACCATCTGCTGCTCAGAGTCAAAGGACAAGAGTCATCAAATGTTGATGCCAAAAAAAAATGAATCTTGTCTATATGCTATGAAATGTATAGGGAAATGAAAGTGGACTGGAATTCCTGTGTAAATGAAATTCCTCCTTTAATAATCGTTCATTTACTATACAAACGACCTATATGATTCTATGTCGGTGATGTCAACAGGTAACTAACCAAATACTATTTTTATAGAAGGTTTAACCAGATTTGATGCTAGGATGTGATACATAATAAAATACAGCTATTGCATCCAGCATCTCTACTAACCTCCAAAAAGAGAAACCTCGCGTGTGGAGCTTTTGGCCTTGGGGCTGCTTTTCTTTGAATTGTGGATAGGCTTAGTCTCATTAGATGAGTAATTGCTTGCAATAGCATCCGAAGAGTGAACCTTCGGCTCAATTTTTTCTAATCTGGCATTAATATCTTTTAACTGCATCCATTAACATGAGAAATAATACTTGAGATATAATCCAATCATCTACATCTCTTTTACGCGCAAAAACGCATTGGAGGACTTAAAATAGTGGGTTAACAGCCAAGAACTCTTTCTTCTATATTATTTATTAGCACTTAATTTCATAAATATGCAAGATAAGTGACATGAGTACCATTGCTGTAGGTAAATGATTTCTGTGCAGTTCTTCAAGGAATTGAGGGCCAGCCTGAGTATACATCTCCTGAGGGGAAAAAAAAGGATTGTCAAAGCAAGAGAAAACTTTATTTGTGGGTAACATGTTCATTTATGAATATGAGATAATTCTTAAGCGATAAACCAGATATATCATTAACGGGAAAAAAGTATGCACCATTAACTCTTTCTCAAACTAGGAATTTCAAAAAAACATATGTTGCAGTATCGATGTTTGAATGCTATGGCGTTTTTCACATCCAACAACATTAGTATGCAGTCACAAGTTTGTTCGCCTTTCAATAACGTAAAGCATCAATTTAAAAGGAATGCGGCAATTTTGCTAAATGCCCAGCAGCACCCAATTCAAACCAGAAAAACATTAGCGATTACATCAAAGCTAAACAAATTCATTATCGAGCCACGCAACATGAAATTACAATGCCAAACATCAATAGTGACCATTGTGATGTAGGTAGAAAACAATCTATCACAGATTTTGCTAACCTCAATACATGAAGTAGCGGCTTCCCTCACACCATGGTTTGGATCATTTAACATCTGCAAAATCTGATCCATGAAGACAACACATGAGGCCACAAAGTCATTCAACCACGAATTCCTACACCTAAACCATGAACTGGCATCACTATAAACAAATAAAATCAACATACAGGTGGAAGAATGGCACGTTGAAGAGGTAGTTCTGTAGATGCAAACAGACCAATAGACGATGTGACAGTACGAGCGAATTCTTCTCGGACTCTCCAACTTCTGTGCATCCAAGCATAAGATCCCGCTCTTTCAACTATGATTGTTGGTGAAGACACCTACAGCAAAATCAATATTTTCAATTTCGACCATGAACCTTATAAAATGTATGAACCACCAAATTCCATTTTAAATAACATACTAGATACCCAGTAGAATCATAAACTAAAATCTGATTTGATATGTACACATTCATGAACTCATTACAAGGAACTTTTATAAGTGTCTGATATGCCATTGTCTTCAGATTGCTACAAATGCACGGAATCAGACTCTGATTTAGGAACAGCCATTAATAGATAATATTCAGAATTAGAGTGTGGAAAAAACAGAAAATTGAATTAACAATACAACACTCTACTTATGAACCTTGCAAATGCTTAACACCTCTTGAGCAATAGCTAAATAATTAGAACACCTGTTGACTAATACTTTTTTCTAGGATAAAAACACCTCAGAAAATAATGCTTCAGTCTTAGTAGGATGAGTAGAAAACTTCACCCGTGTGTGATTAAGAGTACCCTTGCAGCGTTGTTCGTGTAGGCTACGAAGTGGAAATTCAGTACATGGCAATAATGATAAAAGTAACGATACTTTTTGAAGTACTCCAAATTTTGAGGGGCGGATCAAAGGGATGAAATGTTACAAATTCTGTTAGATGCAAAGCTCAATAAAATCAAAGAATACAAAAAGTACACTCCCTCAAAATAAAATTTACCTTCAGCCTCCCACCTATTCCCATTACTTTAACCCTAATGTAGCCTAAAAGGCATATATTTATTATATAGTCATTGGAGAATGAGTTATACATAAACAAAAACGGTTCAAGTCACAAGCATAGTCCATTGATTGGAAGAATACGAAGAGTAATTACTTCACAACTCAAAACCAAAAGAAAGGGCATAATGTCTGAATATAATGCTCTTCCCATTAGAGGTTTTGACGAACTTTCTAAATGTGAAAGACAAGACTAAAAGAACTCTTGCCAGCAATAGTTTATTTTACTCAACTCAAATAGTGATGAAAGCTATTTATAGTTTACATGCCACTTAAAATCCTGGAAATGGCACTACGTACTGCTAAAGTAGATCAGTCTACAAAATGAAGTGAATACAAATCGAAGCTGCATGTATGAAAGGAATATACAATCTCTTTGATGTGTTGGCCGGCCGCCTCAAATTGTATATACCTTCCTCCTATAGAACTCTATTCAACAAGAAAAATAAATCCGACAATGGGCTATGAGGACTTAAATCAATTCAATTCGAACTATTTCGATAAAAGAAAAATACTGTCACAAAAGTTTAAGAAACACGCGGCATAGTCATCAATCACACTTCAATTTTCATCACCCAAACAAATCTAAGCAATTAAAATAAAATTTGATCCTCCAGAAGCAAATTTGAGGACAAGGCTTGGGTGAGAACAATTTACACTAGCAGAATCGGAAGAAAAAGAATCAGGGCAAAAAAGCGTCAAATGCGCAGAATGAATTCACATTCAAAGTACATATGCGCACAAACAATTGCAGGCCGTACCTCCATCAGAGTAAGAAGCAGCCTTCTCGCAGCATCCCTAACCGGCTGCTTGCCATCGCCCAATCTCTCAACAACCGCGGGGACCAGCGCATTGAAGTGAAGCTTAAAGTGTTCGCCGGAGAGCACCGCGGCGGAGGCGAGCGCCTGCAGCGCACCCTGCGCCACTCGGAAGTTGTTGTCCTTCAAGAGATCTAAGCAAACGTCGACGAGTGACGTCACTTCCGGCGGGGACATGGTCTTTCTAGAAGCTTCGAGGAGTTGGTGGAGGCGCTCGACCCCGGCCATCCGCTCCTTCGTGTCCTTGGCACGCGCCAACTCCAAAGCCTCCTCCATGGCGGCGGCGGTAGGGGTATTTCGGAGATTTGCGGGGAACGATCTGTCGCTATGGAGGATCTGATCTGCGGGGGGTGGGGGGGGAAAAGTGAAGTGTGAGAGTGTGTAAGAGAGAGAGAAGAGAGAGAAAGAGGAGAGAGAGAGAGAGAGAGGTTTTGCTAGATTGACGGGAAGGTGGATAAAAAAAATTGATGTGTCTAATCAAATACAAAACTAAATATTAATATCTATATATCTAATTATCTATTGATGTAAAAATGCTAAAATATTGATTAAAAATCATTTTAAAAAGTCAATTTCAACTAGTTCCTTTTTCAAACTAAATTCAAACAAGAGTTCTTGTTTTTCTTCTTTTAATTAAATCATATTACAGATTGAAGATAAATTTTGTAGATCATACACTTTGTAAGTTACACTACAGATCATAGATTAAAACAATCACACATGTACATATAAATGTGTTATACATGAATGGTGAAATTGCAGCTGATGAAGTTCATCGCGTGTAGAAAATAGTGAGGAGATATTGTATTTAGACTTTAAGCCTTGACTAGCAATTAAGATTATAATGATATATATACGCAAGGCTGATCTAACTGGTGAAGTATAAAGAGAGTGCGATATCTAGTGATCTGAGTTCGAGAGAACTTGTGAAATATGGTTTGTGTGTTATGCGTACGAGAATGGAGTTTCACGCAGTGCAAACATTTGTAGATTGAATTCGTTTAATCGTTGAATTGAATATTAATAATGTTCACCAAAAATCTAAAATAAATTTAAAAAAAAAAAAACATATTCCACTCGAGTCAATTTACATGTTTTGCATTTTGTAATTGATTTAGTGTGAATTTGTTTAGCTTTTTAACCCCATCCGCCCGTGGACTATTGCCATTCTCTTGTTTCTTCATTTAAAATTTGTTTATTTATTTTCTCATTCAATATATTCCAATTTAATTTGACAATTAGGGTAATATATATGTTCGAAATTGTAAAGCATGGGAAAAAAATGATTGGTTGTGAATATAAGAGGAGAAGTATATTCTATATATATATATAACATACACTTGCCACAAACTTCATTTTCAGGCTAATTGTTTCTCTAATCTCTTTTATTTTCTTCTACCTATTTAAAAATCTAACAAGAAATCAATTTTACGTTAATATTCAATTAAAGTTATTCTTCAATAAATAATTTTACCTATATATTTTATAATATTTTTTAAGGTTTCCCGTAAATAAGAGAAACCTAAAAATGAAATTTAAACATAAACTGCACTAGACTAACCATGTGTGACAAACTCGACCTAGTGACCCGTTGACATGGGAATTCAAATTTAGATTAATTAACACAAACTCAATTACTCCAACCGTTGCGGAACAATTTAAATTTGAGAACTAATATTATAAAATTATTGACAATACAAACAACCTCAAAATTAATTGACCGATTAATCAATAAATTGAGAAAAAAAATACACCTTATATGGAATAAGAACAATTGGTATAAGAACAAAGTTGACTTAGAGAAAATTGCATGCCAGCTGAAAGCTTGAAAAAAGATTTTATTTTATTTTTTTATTTTTTTTAGCATTATTATTAATATTAATTTCATATCATCGTATTGTGACAACTCGGAGAATTGATCGAGTGGTTGGCTTTCATAAGTCGCGCAACCAATTGCACACCTTAATATACTAACTCGTGAAATTTTAATATATATTTTGTTACGAGACGCAGAATTTTAATAGTCATGCGGTGTTTGCAAAAGTTTTTAATAATAGATTATGAGTTTTTTTGTGCATATAATTTGTCTTTTTAGGTGTTTGCAAAATAAATTTTTGTTTTTTGTTCTCTTAAAAGTATCAATGTACATGTGTTTTTTTCTATTTTAGTTGATTTTTTAGCTAATTTATGAACTCTCAAAACTTTTAAAAATAAACACTTAATCCCAACTTAGATCACAATTGATCATTAACATCTGGTTTTAAATAAGTTTTTGCAAACACCACCTCTTTAACTGATGCTTTACGCTTATAAGTCTAAATGTCACTTGTCTTATTTTATATGCATTCCAAGTGGAAATGATAATAACTAATTGTTAATATCATGTAGAGCAAATTGTGTTAGAAAGACAAGATCTATTATTAAATATAAATCTTCGTGAAACTTTCGATATCAAATGCCTAAATTCAAGTGTATAAAAATATACTTTGCGCGAATCCAAAATTATATGAGATCGGAAAAACAAAATATCACTATTACTGTTTATTAAAATACTGAAAATCGACCCGTATTATAGGTGATGTAGCTGATGAAATAAGAGAGCGCGAAATATGAGTTTGTGTCGCTTTATCAATGTTTTCTACATTTACACTTACATTAAAGATTGCAAGTTCATTGAAGATCATCCAAACATTATTCAAATGTTTACACTTGGTAGTAAAGACAAAATAAAAGGGAAAAAAAGAAGTAGAGACAATCATAATAGGTTAGGAGATTTAGTACAATTATTTTCATGCATTCTGTCTTGTGCCTTCCTATGATTTTTTAAATATATTGAGACCTCGTTTGGTTGGCGAGATTATTCATTATTAACTGAATAATTGGTCTGCGTCTCAAAAATTTATCGGATCGACCCGCAAATATTATCTTATCATGATTTATCTTGCCTTTTAGAAAGTTATTTGGTCGGACATCCCGGGATCCGATAAAAGAATTACATTTTCATTAGATCATTTAATTTTGACTATTTTTATCTTGGCAACCAAACGAGGCCGAATCTATTATTCTATTTTGACAGCTGAAATCAATATAGATATATAATTAAAATATAATGGAACGCGTATCAGACTCTAAAATATAGATACAGAGAATGAATCTAAATCCATAAAATCCAAGGCCAAAAGTAATTAGCATTAATTAAAATAAATAAAACTGAGTATCAGTTGGGGGCGAAAGGCACTGTCGGTGACATTTCAGAAGTGTCATTATATGAAAATTGATACTCAAAAGTTCAATAACCACTAATGCACTCAACCTTTCTATTTGGAATTATTCATTACAAAGATATTAATACTTAATATATCAGGAAAAAAAAAACATTTAGATTACATTGAAGGGGAAAATAATTCAAAAGAATTCCAAATAAGATGATTTGAAATCAAATCCGAAAATAATTCGAAAATTATTTTACTACAAGGGGTAGAGAAAGTTTCGGATGGAGTGGTGAAATGTGTAGAAATTGGGAAGAACGCAAACCGCGAAACACACTATGCTAAATCGATATTCAAATTTTGATAATTTCAAATTCGTCAATCCAAATGAAACCTTATTTCATGGAAGTAAAAAACAAAAAAAAAAAAAAATAGAAGAAGGCCAATCAAGCTGCATCGTTCATTCTAATGTATGGAAGATTTTGTAGATACTACATCCAGTGATTTGAACCATATATCTACACATAATAACTCACACTCATCCATGTGTATGTTTTTTTAGTGAATAGTTATTTGTATAGATTTACGGTTTGCTATACTGGTTTATTTGACTGGGCGCAACATTTCATAGAAATCCATTCATGTGATTTGTGGCATTTAATCATTTATCATCATTATTTACCCTATAAAAAAAATGCTCTTCACACAATACACAAAAGGGACTAGCAATGATTAAAAATAAAAGCGTAAATTACGACCGCCCGTCTGAGGTTAAGGTCTATTAACGAAAAAAACCCTTCACTTTTTCATAATTACATTCACCCACTGCAATTTGTAGATTTCTTTCACTAACACCCTTTTGTACGGGGTAAATGTAAGCAATTTACAAACTATAAGGCCATCTCCAACAGTTGTTTAAAAATCGGTTGTCTATATCTATAATTTAAGAGACGAACAGTGTTATACAACACCACTTTTAACATCACACTCCAACAACATTGTTTATATTTTACACAATTATTATATTTTATTATTTTACAAAAACTTTAGTTCTGAATTAATTTTAACAACTATAATTTTAATTTCACATACATACATATATCTTGTTTTAGTGTTTTACTTAGAAACTTTTTAGAATTAAAATATATTGCAAAGTATAATTTAATGTTATATATACATGTATTAAAAAAAAAACTAAACACTCTTTATTTTATTAATAAAAAGAAACATTATGTGCAAAATAAGTACCATCTGCATAATAATTATTGTATTTAATATATAAAAAATAGCACTGATGGGACTTTTATTATTGTTTATATTTACACAATTTGTAAAATTGTAATTTTGGTTTGTCAAATTTGGATATGCAAAGTTAAAATGTAAAAAAAATTGCCTTTTCCCACTTTGTTGTTGGAGATGTGATTTTTGGTTTAAAATGTGTAAAAGATGTAAATTATAGATATACATCACCTTGTTGGAGATGCTCTAAGGGACTAGATGTAATTTCTAGAAAAGAATGTTTTTTTTTTGTTATCCCAAAATAAAAATTAAAATTAAAAAAACAAGAATTTTCTTTTCACCAGAAAATTGAGCACATAAGAAACTCAGTAGTGGTCTCAATCAAAGTGCACTTAGTATTTTTTTGACAAGATCAAATCAACAACAAAATGGATAATCTAGTTTCACCAAGAAATGAATAACAAAGTATAGCACAATAATTGCTCTTTTAATCCATCATATTGTATGTATCATGGTTGTTGTTGTTGTTTAATGATGTGAAGATAAGGATAAAGCTTCTTCACAAAGGGCATGATTAGCAAATATCAATATAAAAATGAAAGCATAAATAATACCTACTTCATGACAAAGCCAACCTACCAACCACTTTTAGACATAACCAAAGGGGGCCAAAAAAGAATGGAAAAAAAAAAGTAAGCACTCACAAATCATGTACATTTTAATAGGTTTTTGTAACTGCAGATTATGTTACACGTAAATAAACCGTAACTCGTAAGATCAAGCAATAAAATCAACAAAAAGGAAATAAAGATTAGTGTACTTAGCTAAGGGTCATTGTCGTATGGTACATTTGGAGCAGCCGATAATGAAATGTTAAGAGGACAATGCCCATGGATTCGGAATTCAGCCAAAACGGATGCTTCATCGACAAGTTGATCACATAAACTATTTCCAGATAAGTCCAGATGCTCGAGTGTTCCTGTGAATGCAGATAGAGAATAACGTACAATGGATAAAGATCGGTAAACCTCCCGAGTATAATAAACTTTGGGTAATTGCAATTTTTTTTTGTTTTGCAAAAAGAAATCGGAAAATGTGCTAGAGATGTGAGCCACCTTTTGAGGCTCTCAAGCCAGCGGATATTACTGATAACGATTCCGTAGGCATTAAGTTATATCTTGCATCAATTGCCGTGATTTTGTGAGCATGTGTAACGAGGCTTGATATAAACCGTGCAGCTTCAATCCCACCTTGGTTGTTGCTGTAAAAGTTCATCAAATGATAAATATTAAGTCATCACGTATACATAAGAAAAGGGCGGCTTCAGGGTGCGTGGGGCGGGGTGGGGGTGGGTTGGGGGGGGGGGGGGG